TACAGGGAGCCAATGAATTAAAAAATTTAATTATGAGTACATATCGCATTCAATCTCCTTATTACCCGAACTATCCAAGATATGATCATTAAAGTAAGAAATGCTTTTGAAAATACTTTGACTGATCAGAGTTTTTTTTTAAAAAAACTTCGGAAAAAGTCCTATGAAAACAATACAGTGTGTGTTGTAACTATCCCTATTGAAGATTTAACAGTTGAAAGTTTTTCCTAAGGTTCGAGAGATAAATCAAGAATTTGTTATCAAAGAGTTCATGCACAAGATATATCAATTATTAAGTACAAACAATTTTATGCAAAAAAAATTCATAAACTTTAGTCAACTAGTTCTTAAAAGTTTTATTTCTAGAAAATTTAGAATATCACAATCCAGATTAATAAATGAAAATAAGATTGACAAAACAATATTGTCTGTTAATCAGACTTAATTTGATTTTTGTCATGATTTAATATCAGCCGCTTGATCTTCAAGGTCAGTGGAATAAAGCAATGCCAAGGAACAAACATTATGCCGAGAAATGAAAGCAGACATAAGAAGAATGTACAAAAATTGTACAGAACTAGAGAGGAAGGCAGTAGGCTGAAGAATGCTAGTCGGCAACCTATGCTCAATTAAGGGTAATAGGTGAATATAAATAAGCTTCATCTTAATATGTCATTTTGTTTTTATTAATGCGCACTGACAACCCCTCTAAGTAATGAAATCAACTCCTTCATGTTTTTTAACCAGCAGACTGTTAAGTTTTCATTTATTACTACACAATTTTCAATCAGTTAACATGATATCATCTACTGCTTTGTTATGATCAGTGGAATAACCTTATATTCGATTGGTAAAACTGTACAATGTTTCTTTTTTGTCAATTAGTGACAAAGTTAGTTTCAATAGGAATTAAAGTTAAACATATCATTAAAAATTATCACAGATTTAATTATATTAAACAGATACATATGTCATGTCAAGCGAAAACAATGATGAAAGATTTTTTGAGTATTAGCTCTGCTCTTAAAAGCCCTTAGCGGGCACCCTTACCGCCGGAGACGGAAATCCGTGAGGTAAGGTGAGGTGTGACATTTTCAGGATCGACCCTTTCTAACCCTTCCTTCCTTGTCAGAAGGCAGCATCGCTACAGATGCTGGTTGTTGTCCGAGGGAAACACCTTACTGCTATCACACTCCTCTGCGGTCAGTCAGCAGTACGACTTCGCCCTCAGGGCTTGAGTAGCTGTTTTTAGTCTCACCGTTCTCCAATCGACCTGCCTGGCATGGTAGAACCTTCAGGAACATATGTTCCAGCCAGTATAACTCGTTTGGATCATCACGATAGGCAAGCCCGGCGACCGCGTCAAGGTAGCAGCTACGGTTGGGTAATATTTTGGAACGCTTCACGATTTTGCGTGTCATCCTTGCACAGGGGCCATGCTAATCTTCTCTGTATCGTTCCACTTCTAGTATGTGTACCACCGAAGCGAGTAGTAGGAGTAGGTTGGAAGAAAGTTAGGGGCGGCCAAACCAAAACATGGTAGAAATCCATGAAGTCATTGACAAGTGGGCTGAGTCATGTCGGTAGTTGTCGACTACGTGGTAAGGGTCCGCGAGATAATAGTAATCGATGGCTAGAGACCTTGAATGACATGGCTCAAAACCGTTTGCAATGGCGCCGGTGCATTTATTCTTTGTGTTCGCTCAAATCTCAATCTTCTGGATTCTTCAACACCTCTAGTTTTGGCTTTCTAAACTTATCTCACTGAATCATACTTCTCGAATAATATCTTCTAATCCTAACCTCTCCGATTACTTCTAATACCTTTACTACCTCTTCTACTATTGGATTTGAATTGACAATTACATCTCTGTGCTGATATGTTATGACAACATGAACTGATGCACTTACGTACGAAGTTCTACGTTGCATCTAACTGACTGACTGAAAACAATAATGTAGATGACTTTATTATTATTTTGTCTGAAAGAATTAATTTTTTTCATTTCAAAACAATGGGACAATTGATACCAGTTAAATTTACAAAAATAAACTTGAAATGATTGCTTAGATGAATTTGTACTGAAAAATTAACCGTTTCATTCGTCTTTGAGATTGATATACTGACCTTATCAGTTTTACTGCGTGATTACCTGGATGTAGACGATTAGTCAAACAACTAGACTGAATCACACACTTCTGATGTGAAAATTAACCGGTAAATTCTAAGCTACTTATTGATAATAAGTAGTATAATGTCATAACTAGGAAAGCTAGATTTGCGGCTGAAACTCTATCCTCAAAGACAATCAAATCAACCAGTTCCTAAAGACACTAATGTAGGCAGTAGTCTGAGTCTAATAATTGTATATTTGCACTTGTTACTTGAGCGAGGAAACTAGTAGCAATCTGAAAGCCTCTATTATCTATACAGGATCGAAAAATATATATTAGGGTATTTATTATTATGTTTTTCCCAGAAAATAGAGCTGAATTTTCTACCGACAGCCAGTTTATCTCTTTTGCATAGTTAACCTGAACATTGACTAATAGCATATACCCGTTTGTGTATCTCAACCATCATTTGGCTTTGAAGCGGTTTCTAACTTTCCTAGCATATCCAACGCCACAATTGGTTCAGATCATTCATGAACATTTTCAGAATAGTTTTGCCGTGTTCTTAAACAATCATACTCCAAATTACTAGAGGATGTTGAAAAACAGTGAGAGCAATCGAGATTCCCATTGCTCTTCTGTTACGCCTGCACGTAAACACGTCAACTTGATATGCTTGAACTATTACGAGTTTACCTAGCCGGAAAACGAGAGTGAGGATCGAGGATCCGGTGACACGACATGCTACTCAAATCCGATTATTCCAACCCCCATATTGAGTAAAAATAATAAGAAGACGTGATATGAAGTAGAACCTGCATCCAGAAAGTACAAGGTCCGAATCCAGAAGAGAAACAGGATCCCGGAATAGGGATCCGGATCCTGGTCGTGGTCATAAAACGTTACAGATAATGCGTATTTATACATTTTGGTCGAATAGGAAACAGTATCGAAGTGTGACATTGGAAGCTAAGACGACCAATAAGAAGCAGCATTCGCAGTGACATCGATAGTCAGGACAACCAATAAGAAACAACATTGGAGCACGTGACATTGATATGTAGGACCATAAAATTGATAAGCAGGAATTAACCAATAGGAATTGACCAATACTTTTCTTAGCATATTGGATGAATACACTAACATCTTCCCTTAACTTCCATAGATCATCTGAGTGCGTCGAGCATATTCTCTTTACGCAACTGCTCTTCTATCCATGCCTTTAAACAAGGAATTGATACTCTATATGTTCATATTGTTTGAATGATTTTACAAAGGTAGTGAACGTAAATATCTAAAGCCTAAAATGAAATATTGTATCAATAAGGTCTGTTAATAGTAGTTAAACATCCTTGGTTTGAAACTTATCATCCTTATGGGCTACAATATCCCGAGAGAATCAATAACATACGAGTCGACTTTGAGCACTGGATTACACGTCTTGACGTTGCTCCATACGATATGAGTTGATCTGGAAGTGTTGACTAGAACGCCAGTTGTAACCAGCTGATCTCGTTTAACTCACAAACCGATTAGCTTTCTACAATGCTTTAATATGCCGGTGTTTTGATGTCGTAATCAGAAAACAGTTAATGCGTAGTTTCACTTATTTATCATATCTGGTAAATATTCCCAATTTATTCTTAAAATGTAGTGAGGTACGATGTCCAAGAATTGATAATCGTCATAGGCGTCCGACTTAAACACTAGCCCGATCGGTTGCTTCATATTATTTTCATGCAATCATGCTACTCAGGTATGATAACTTAGGTTAACGCACGTATGAGGAACCGTATGTTGACGTCGACTCCACTGAGAATGCTCCTAGACTACCACAATCAGGATGTATGTAAACTCATTTATACACATATATAAATCCTCTGTAAAATTAAGCCATTAATTATGTCTCATTTCTAAGAAATTTTAGCTCTTCCTTTGACCGATTCAACTAACCCAAAGTGCCATACATCGTAAGAAGTCATAATGCGATATATTTCACTTAAATAATCCGACTAAGATCACTGTAATAAGTGATTCAGATTCTCTGAAATAGTTTGTACTTTCTTGCATTATATCTTCGATGTCTAATCTTTATTATACTGTTACTACCTCTGTGGTGCACGCTACTTATAAGTAGTATATGACGCGAGTGTAAACCTAATGTCTGGCAGCAGAACATGGGGCAAGATCAAGAAAGGAAGGGTGGGAAAACAATGGAATTTGTATGAAACGCATGAATACGTGAAATGTCAGACAATGGATTGATGATGGATTGAAGACTTGCAAATTAACCGTTTACGATATGGTTTTCATATTTTACTGAGTAACTCTGTAATTTTCGTTAAATACAATTCGGTTGCCCTCATCTGTGTTCTCCTTCACTACACCTCTACTACTTTGGGATGTGTATTAACAATTTTATCTCACTGTGCTAATGGGATATGTAAACTTGAACTGAAGTACACACACACACACACACGCCCTACATTAAGTTTAACTGACTGGTTGATAGTAGTAATACAAAATATGTAAGATGCATGCATGGTCTGTGGTGCTGTGGTGAGAGCTACTTATAAGTAGTATATGACGTCAGCGTCAACGTAATGTCTGGCAGCCGAAGATGGGGGGAAGATCAAGAAAGGAAGAGTTAGAACACCATGGAATTTATATGAAACGCATGAATAGTGACAATGGATTGATGTTTTGCAACAGGAATAGTCCAGTTCGATATGATGAACTGTTATTTTGCAAATTAACTAACGATTTACGATATGGTTTTCCAATTTTATTGAGTAACTCTGTAATTTTCGTTAAATACAATTCGGTTGCCCTCACCTGTGTTCTCGTTCACTACAGGTCGACAACAAAAATCAAAAAATCAACAATTATGAGATGTTAGTTTATTACTAATATCATACATGTATAGAAAAAGAGGTAAAATACCACAGTGTTAAAAATGTGTTGGATTACACACAGAGTAGTAGTATTAACACAGCTGGTTATAAAATATTTTACAGTCAGCAATTAAAAAAGAGGGAATCAATCAGTAACACAAAAAACAAACAAGGATGTTAATTCAGTAATTACGTCCACGACCTCGACTACTGCGACCAATGCGAAACCGGCTTTTATTTGAATCGGTAGTTTCAATACGAGACCATTGACCGATTGGTGGTGTATACAGTGGTCTATCACCACGTATTGGTCGAACACTACTTGCATTATGATTATTACTCAGATCTGTGGAGAACGAACGTTTTGTGCCTGGGTTCGAAGTAACAGGCGATTGGATCCATGACAATGTTACACTGGTGGTTTTAAACATTGGAGGGTTATGAAAGAAGCATCGTATCATACGTTGGATGTTCATCATAAGCTAACCAGAAAGAAAAAAAACAATTAAAAAATATAAAGTGTATTCTGACACTTAGCATGAAATCAACTCTAGGTTATTTAGAAAATATGCGCTTAGTTAAAAAAATACATTGTACGCCATATAGACAGTTAAAAGTAAAAGGTTTTATAAAAAATGAGTATTGTGTTTCAAATTGTAACCAAAACTGTTTATTTACTTGGGGAAAAAACATATATATGCACTGAAGTTAGCTATGTATTGTTTCAGTTTTGTGACAAAATCGATTCGTAAAAATCATGTTAAGCATAAAGTTTTTGGAATTTCATAAAATTTACTCTAAAACCTATGATTGTTATTATCCTTCTTGTAAATTAATTCACTCTGATGCTTATAGGAGTCTAAACTAAAGTGGCTTTTTTTTTACTGAGAAAGCACTTATAAACAGAGTCGATTGATTCAAACGATTGAAGGAACTAGGATAAATGTTATGTTGGATTCCATTCGTTTCAGTTGAAGTGAAATGTAACAAACTGAACCGATGTTACATATACGCCAGGTTCAACCTTGATAATAACTCTGACAGCGTTTAGTCGAACCAGACCTAACTCGTTTTTTTTTAACTCACAATGCACAAATAAAGCATAGGAAGTAAATGTGATGAATTTTATTGAAACAAATCAAACAGAAATATTTGCAGACGAAGAGTTACCTTGTTATAACTAAAAGTAATGGTTAAACTATACTGTAAGAAAGTATGTTTATACAATGGATTCAGATTTGGAAAGATATATAGTTTGAGATAGACATTTTTCAGTAATAAGAAGCAATTTTATGACAGAAATTTTCGATGTCCCAAATGATCTATTAAACTGTACATAACAGTGCACTTGCCACAGAATGCTAACATAACTAAAGATGGTTACTGATCAAATCGAACACTTTAACCAAGAAAGTTACCCACCTTTTTTTCATATTCGCATTTCGGTGAATTCAACCTTCAACAAAACTTATGTATTTCGATTGATTTCCCTGCCTTTTAGACAAAGCATTCAAAGTAGGTAACCGAATATTATCATTACTTCCAGGATATGAAGTGTCCCGAAAAACAGGTTATAATAGTTATTACCACAATATTTGTGGGGTCCCATCAAATAAGTGACATTGGCCTTTAACATACCTCGTCTTTTGTAAAAAAAAATATGAATACAAGTGGTACTGTTACTACGTTTACTGTTTTGGGATGTAACGTCACAACTTTATCTCTGTGGTTGTGAGACATGATAACTTGCACGGATGTAAGTACGTATCAAGACGTACGTAGCAAATGGCCGATCAACTTACTGATTTGAGCTGTAAGCAGAAGTTTGAATAGTTTAAATTGTGACAGTGGAGACATCTACTAAATTATACTACTAATTTAATTCATAACATGAATTTGAATAATAAGTAATCCTCAAAGCATTGTTAGAAAAAAAAATAAAGGACTTACTCTGTGAGCCATGTTCCGAAGCTTACTTTCTTCAGATTGTAAATCCTTATTTAGCTGACCAGATATTGTTGTTGCATAATCCTGTGCTAACTGGCTTAAGTACTGAAGACGAGGTTTAACGTTGCGTAATCTATCGACTCCATCTTTGATAACAGATAACTCGGACCCATTATCACTCGCTTTACCTCCGAAATATTGAGGGCAATAACATGCAAGCTGGCAACATAAAAACAAACTTGCCTCTAACTCTGAAAACTTTACACCCATTTGGTTTAATGTTGGTTTTTCTTTAGACGACTGTTTCATCTAGAGGTTTGGAATAACGAATATTGATAACCTACGTCGTCAGTTGCGTCTTCCGAAGGGATGTTAGGTAAGAACATTGACAATATACTGAAAACGGAATCTAGATACTTTATTATATCCTCTGATTTTATAGATGCAAGTGTTGGACTTGGAAAAGATAGTAGCTCTGCAGTTAACTGAAGTAAACTAAGTCGTTCATCGAAAGTGTCTTCAGCAAAATCAGCAAATTGCGGTAAGAATTTTTCTAACATGTATATGTACAAATCATGAGCGTTAACGTTTTTCTGTTTTTAGAATATCTAGAAAATAAATTATTACTTACAGATACACACAAGGCAGCTTGTTTACAACTCTCGCGAACTTGAGCTATACATGCACGATCACTGGCCTTTATTTATTACTACAACTTAGAAATAACTTACATTGAATGTCGGAACAGCTTGCAAAGCTTGTTGCGAAATCATACCCACTAACTTTTGCCTACCAGTCAGAGTAGACATACACCTCAAGGATGATAGTAGGGAAATTAACATTGGAAACTCTTCTTCAGAAACATCATGTAGTACTCGATTAGTTTGTTCAACTACAAAAGACTCCAAATCACTAGTCAGTACATCATCCGGTAGATTCTTTAAACGTTCACACAAGAATTTGAGAGTATTTTCTCTGGAGTTTTCCGCATTCATTGAAAGAAGTCGATTAAATATACCCAGTAAAGTTGCTTTAGGCTCAGAATGAAGTAGTTGGGATAATGCTAAAGAAATAACATTCAACTCCTAAAAATCATACATTAATTAAAGTTAGTCACCTTTTTGTCATCAGTTTGATACATTTGAACGAGGACATCAGCAACACGTGGGACGAATACTCGAGCATGCTTACAAAACTGTAATAAATCATGCACCACTTGGCTTCGAACATTAACATCGTCATCGTCACATAAATCGAGGAAACAATTGAAACTTTCTTCCAGTAGATTCTCGAAAAGTTTGCTGAATCTTGCTATAAACTGACTTGACAATCTCTTTGCATTTTCTTCCCCTTTAACACCTTCAAGTACTATTTTGTAGGCATTTTCTTTCTAGATTAAACGACTAATTAAAAAATAACAGTCACAACTTCTTTTAAATCTACAGAAGTGTCGACCAATTTGTCATAACATGAGTACAAATCATCCGTAGTCGGCAAAGCCATTGGGTAACAAACACCATTAAATCTCCGCCTGTAAGGTCCATAAAGAATCCAATATCCAATATCTTTTTCCTAGGCTAATATGAACCAGTTGATTCCTTTGCGTCTGATTCTTGTTCTACTGGTACAGTTCCGTATATTTGGTATTTTCCAACAGAGGGAGGTATAGCTACTCGACTGAACTAGTTCCAGTAGGTAGGCAATTGTTTTTGAGTTTGTATCCCATATAATATATATATATATATATACATATATATATATATATCCAGAATAAGTACGTTTGTTTCAGAGGAGTAGACCTCTTGGATACCGGCAGCTGTTACGTTACGAGGCCGGAGACCAGACAGTTGCAATGTGGAGAATAATAAGGAGAAGTGTCTAAGTTGAATGAATAATTTGGTTTATTAATTGGTAGTAAAAATTGTGCGGAGGGACCTAAGTGTAAGCGAGGCAAAGGTATCAGAGATATTTGATGCAGATAGATCAAGCTAGTGATGTGGTGGGATCACAATAATAAAAATCAGCAGGGGACCGTAGTTGTTACAGGAGAAACGAAGACATTTTGCTGATTAAAACCTTCATGTATAAATATCATTAATTTCACTGTTTTTGGGTACATTTGTTTTACTTAACTTATGAACTTGTTTGAATTATTATTTCCGGACATATTGGACTCCCGTTTCTCTTTGTTGTTCGTTGCAGTTTTTTGCTCCAAGAGATAATAAATTAGAAGGTAATTGTAATTATTATAATTATTGTTGTTAGAACGACATTGGTCGTCTATTTGTAATAAATTATTTTGGTGGAATTTGTGATTTGGAATAAACTTTGGTATCTACTTTGGAGTTTCGTTCTTGGTATAGAAATTTGGGACCTTGAATTACCAATAGACGACAACAGTGCTTCGTAAGATCGACGAGCAAAAAACTGGACGTAACAGTAGTCACCTCCACTATGAGAGCATTTCGAGTTGCAACAACTCTCAATAAGAAAGTTAGCTAGCCTTGGTGTCCGCTATTCAGTACGCAATTTTCCGAGAATTACCTCGAGGGAGACAGTGGTGATGCATCGGTTAGATGTACAAGTTGTGATGATTTGACGTGCCTCATATGTTTTACGCCATTATCCGATCAGCTCTGAATGATCCCAAATGCTGGAGTCTATCTTCGTACGTTTTATTCTTTAAGCCTATCACCCATTTCATTACTCGTTTCTGCACTCGATCGAAAAGATTTATGTCTCTTTTAAGGAAGGGGGTGAGACAATGATTTGAACCCCCATGTGTGGGCGTATGGACGTGATTTCACTAAATTGTCTTCGCATAAAATGAAGAGTTGTGTAAGCCTTAAGTGTGTCTCCTATATAGTTCGAACTGATGTGGAGGCTTCCACTGGTTATTAGACCGAGATCACACTTTGAGGCGACATTAGAGGGCGGGCTTCGATTGAGGGTGAAAATTGTTTGTTTCACGCGGGGAAGAATGTTCATAACATGACATTTCGACTGGTTTAGTTTCAAGCCGTTTTTCGCTCCCCATTCCTCAATAGATGTAAGGTACTTTTGAAGCTCAGTTGAATCCTAATCGCTTCCGATGGACCGTCAGGAAGACTGTACAAACAATCAAATTTTAAATACTGCAATCCACCAATGTTCTTAGTTTCCATAACTACCAAAACTCAGTCGAAGGGAACACTAACTTGTTTTACATAATAAAATTTCGTCAAAGTCTAAAGAAGGATGTCATAATAATTAACTATTCCATAAATTTCATCCTACGGAAATCCCTATGAAACTTGTGCTTGCTAACCACGGCAATAGATTTAGCTGCCTGAATGTTGGTAATTAGTCATCTAATCCATATTTTTGTTGACTTGAATATTTCATTGGTTATAGATTTTACTACTTAGCGAACTAAGTTATGTTTCTGATGATAGATACGACATTCTTACAGAAACGTTTTCCTTGAACCTAATGCGTCGTCTTTGGTAATGTCAAGGTGCATTATGTTAGGCATTCTGTTCTGGTGTCGGGACCTAATGAATTCAGCATCCAAAACAGTTTGGTTTGTTGAGGTCTCTTGGAAAAATGGGCTCGATGCGGGTCATTCCCTTTCATCAGTTATTTAGTTTATTCCTGTTTGCTACATTATTGCTTTTGGCCTTATGTGAACCATCAGAAGTTTTAATTTGTAGCAACGTGTAAACCTTTATCACAGAGTTTCCTTTTCAGTTGAATACCCTAATTCTGGTAGTTCAGCAGTTTTCGAACGAAAAATCGCAGCATATATTCTACCAAGACTGTCACAATATAATTGAAAGCGTTGTACCAATGCTCCTAATTTAAAAGCACTGTCTCTTTAAAATATTTTCAAGAGTAAATTTTTTCATAGTTTGTGTTGTGTTTGAGCTGGTGTATGGTAGTTAAATGAATACCACTAACAAACCAGCGTACATATAGGTCATGGAATGTGGTATAATAAATATACTGCTGAATCCTCTCCATCAATCACATATCAAGCTAAAATGTTTCCTCCCTAGACGGCAGGATACTGAGCGCAGAAAAGTTGAAAATGGTGGAACATCATATGGACTTCATTGCTTTATCATGAAAGGCTGGTGACCCAAATGACACGATTTGACTATTTAATACAGAAATGATTTGATTCTGGCATAAGACCATACAGATTCCGTAATCACATTATGTCAAGCCAACTCCACTGAATTACGTTTATTAGGGGTATAATGTAAAAGAGTGAAACAACAGAAGTCTTTAGACAAAAATTCAATGCGGTCATGAATCCCTATTCCTAATCAAAAGCATACTAAAACTATACTAGGAGATTATAATCAATGACCGTAAACATAACCTAATCACTAGTATTTTAGTACGAACATGCGATGTATTCTAATCTTCAGATAGAAAAATTATCCTAAACTAAGCAACTACTCCATTATTTATATAAGTGAATTAAAGCATGTCTGCAAGATGGTATGCACATGTCTAATAACTACTAGTGTCTTTGACATCCCTATAAATACTGAGTCACCCACTGTTTATTGAGTGAGTCTTTGTGCCTTATCTCATCAAAAAACTCCCGTCGTTTATCTTTATTAATGGATCGCTGAAAGCTTTACAACTACCATCGCTTGATACTTCTGAATTCAAAAAGATCAATCTGAACAGCAATGATAAGTAAGACCATAGCATTATAATTTTCCCAAATGTAGGGAAGATAGTTTGTCGCAGATCAATTTCTGACGCAAGCTAGAAGGATTTATCTAATTACAACAGGAAAAACTGAATAAAACACCGAAAATCAGAGTTATATCGATAGCTTTGAGGGATTAAGTACCGATAATTCAATGCAGAAAAGTTATTTCTACTTCAAAATAATATTTCGCCAATCACAGCGATCATCCAAAACAGTCTTTATAAACATTTTCCCTTCTTTGAGAGCAAGCATTTGCTACAGTATGAACGGAACAACGTAGAACACAACAGTTATGACCACTAATAATATCGATAAACTCCGACATTATTACTCTAAAAGTGTCGAATTGTGAAAACACACTTTTTCGTGAACGATGTTATCGCCCGATCATGCCGTAAACACAAAAGACACTTTATTACATCATCTCGGAGCCGGAATGACCAGAAACTGGTATGAGAACATTTGTGTGTAGTTCTCCCCAAAACAACTGGTTTGACCATTCTCTATCTTAAAACAGTCTTTGAATTCAGCGTGAAACATATATAAACACTTTTCCTGGCATTACTTATGTACAGTCGGATTATCAATCACATTTTTATAATTAGTTAGTATTTAACACCGGCCAGCTGAAAACTCGTTTCAAAAAATGCCTTTTTGTGATATCAAATAGCTTGCCTACTGAAACATTCAAAAACAGTGTGGTAAACAATCAAGGTAGAAATAACGAAACCCCGAAATATGTGCAGTATCTAGGACTGAAGATCCCAGTTATCATTGAAACCGGTAGGTCGATCTGTTGGTTGCATAGCCACATCACACCCGCCGAAGTCCACCCGCCGTAACTCGCGCCGATTATTCGCGCTGTACATTGTAGACCATCTATATGGAGCCAATGTATCTTATGAAATATTTCAGTGACTGTACACCGCTTTAAAAGAAATATGTTGTCGAACTTAACATTTCGGTCTTGCCCGTAAATTATCATGCCTCTTGTAACATGTTCGTTATTTGAGAATAAATTATTATTATCATTATTATCACGCTCACCCTACTTCCATATTATTAGCTGTGCACACATTTATACGACCATGAACTCAGTGCTACGATTTATTTATTGATTTTTACCCTCCAAAGTGACATTAAATTTTTCTTGTTGAATACAAATCTCTTTAGTTTTTACTTGAAAAATTTAGGTTACTCACTGGGTCAATCGATACAGTTCTACTGTAAACTGGCTGATTAGAACTCACTCTACTGTCCTGGGCACAACTTTATAAACATTCATAACTATGTGAGTTTCATATTGCCTATTATCAGTTTTACTGTTCTCACTTACACTTTATTGACTTACCATTGATTGCTTAGTGTTATCTATTGCCAACTTTTAACCATTATACTCTTTAAAAATTTCCCGCTTACTTCGTTAAGCACATTTCCGCCACTACATCTCAATGCCTATAGCTTCACAACTGTTAACTATATTGCATTGATGCCTAACTAATAGCTTATAAGTTGCAACAGCCAGACAAGCTTGTTAAGCAACTTGCAGAAATAGTGTTTCCAACAGGATGTGGGACATAGAGCACCAAGTAGAATATAAAAATTTTTCTTTTAAACATTCAGCATGAATCTACCAACAAAAAGGAAGGGAGGGTGGAGTTACCGACCAGCAAACATTGGTGGCGTGGAAGATAAGTTCAAATCACCCATTTTTGAGTGGAATAACATTTTATTTGCTTTCGTCCCTCTTGACTGACGATGCGACTAATCAGTAACACTGGGGTTGCTCTTATGCGCTTGCTTCTTTTGAGGCTCATGTTTCCAAAACTATGCTGAGGTCGCTAATCTGCCGAGACACCCGCAATATGCTTACTCAGACGCTTGCAGTATGATTTAGAGGTTGACATTTAATAAAAAACAAAAATTTTAATTAATAATAATAATTTATTCTCAAATAACAAACATGTTACAAGAGACATGCCAATTTACAGGCAAGACCAAAATGTTAAGATTAGCAACATATTTCTTTTCTTTTTTCCTTGTTGCTGCCTTTTTTCTCTCTTTTCAGAACCCCACTCGAGGTGAAAAATCCATGGCGCCTCTACGGAATATGCACCCTATGTAAATCCACGTCTAGATCACAGCTTGTATCTAGCGCGTTCCGATTGACCTTTCCCCATAAATTCACTATTAATCAAAGCCCAAGAAACCTACTGTGCACCTTCCCTATTTGTACTCTCCTATTGAAAATGTGGCTGCATCAAACCGTTTCTGTCAGTGACATGGTGTAAATGCGCTGTCGAAAACTGACTCTTAAACTTGATTTAACTGCGATAACTTTTGCAGTAAATTTGTATGCATTTGTGGCATTTTCATCTAGCCTGTAAACTGGCATGCCGCTTGTGAAGTAATGTTATTTGAGAATAAATTTTACCATGACGAAAAAAATACATGAGGAATTACACTGATGCTACCTGGAGAAGGAAGAAAAATATCCTTGGAATGATAAGTTCCCTTACCTATAATCATCAAGGCACCCTTCAAAATGTAAGGAATCAGAATAAATACCATTCTGTACAAAGCGCCCACCAGTGGAAGCAGCGAAGACAGTAAAAATCAATTTAAGCTGCTGACAGCCACCGAACAAGTCATTCTCCCAAAAATTACCAAAGAAGAAGACAGGAAGATTCCGACTTTGTATATGTACCGTTATATTCTGGAACCAGAACAAACCTACCTGATTCCGAAGAAGATGAGCGAAAATCGCAAAACGACTTCTGCAAATGTAATCTTTACGCTTCTAGATTCCTTCTTGTATAGGATAGCTGGACAAACTTGAGTGATCAAACAGTGCAAGCGCAAGCCAAATCCTTCTATTCTGTTATAGAAATCTACTGTGCAACTTACATGCCTTTCATTATGAATCATCTCTCCTAAGCCTGTTACTTATCTTGGGACCTACGGTGCTGACTAGATATCTGTAAACAACTCCGTCCTGGGCTTCCTTTTGGAGTCATCAGAGAAAACAAGTCATCTTTTTAATGCTCAGTGTATATTCTTTAGTTTGTCTCTCTTCTTTTGTCTTCAGGAGATGAAATTAACGACTATCGAGAGGAAGAATTTTGTGATTGCTACAAACTGTGCACTAATGACATCTAATATAATTTTCCTGACTTTCCAATTAACTGGTTTGATTTCAACCAAATTACTTTGTTGCTAACTGTCCCGGTGCAATGAATGCGCAATATCTTCAGTAGAAAACTATTTGTAATTCCCTGAACTGTTGACAATATTTGTGACAGTTTTCCGAGACTCATCAACGTAGGTGAAAACCGGTTTAATCTTTATTTTGCAAATTCTGAATTTGGCAAAGTGTGATAATCCATTGGAGCCCCAAATATTTTTTATATCTGGAAATGTCACCTGTGCTTTGCCTGGCAATGCCTTTTCATCTGTTTCAGATCCCTTAATTTCATCAGTGGTTCGTTCTGAGAGTATAGGTGCCTCCATCTGTTCTAATTTTGCCCGAGATACAAGATACTGAAAGTCAAGGGATGACATATAAAGAAGCATTGAACACATTGTTAAATGAGAATAAAGGTTATTGTTACTACTAAAGGACTAATACATAAACATGCTATCCTGTCCGTGTACGAAGTACCCGAGTTTTGAGTAAAAGTAGAAAGACACCAGGTTGTTTGGGTTAGAATAATTTTACTGACTGTTGCAAATGCTTCAGTATCTGCTAACAGTGAGGAACGGTGAGTTGACGTTTGGAAAGACAATGCCAACAACAGAGTCCCAAAACTCAAAAATTGGAGGACAAAGATGCCTGGAGGAGCTTCATGGCTTTGATCAATGTTTCAGTGTTAGGGCAGCCTACTAAAAAACAGGGTACCGGTCAATACCAGACAGTGATCGTAAGGGGTATCACTCCAGCCGAAGTGAGCCACCCCCATAAAGACCAAAATGTAGTGAAAGATTAACTTTTCGAATAGAAGTAAATTTACATTCGGCTCATGATACAGAAGAAATATTTTCTACATGTCTAAGGCCACCAGCAATATGTTTTTTCGAAATCCGGGTTGGACACGGTAAACCGTAAGTTCTTAGTGATCCTGCTAGATCACCAAAAAAATCAAATGACAAACCAGTATGGCAGTTCACCGATTGTCTTAGGTGATCCATGGTAGTTACGATGAGGCTCACGTGTGTGAGATGCAACGGCGTCGTTAAATATCGCGTAGCATTGGCCTTTATATCAAAGTAGGTATCAGTGTTCCGGCTACCTTTTACGTGCACCTCATGACAGTTGAGTCCTCGAACACGATGGCTTCGAACCTTGGAATTCAAGATGGCCTGAATGAGGCTCACATTAGATACTGTGAGGGCCATTATTCATAAGAGCAATAACAGTGTCAATACTAAATAATAGATCGAGAGGTCAGTGCCGGAAAAATCAAAAAGTCTAATCCATGGAGTCAGCTGACCTCAATTAACAACCCACGATGTGCAACACTGACTCGCTGATTAAGCATACTGTCCTAAAAGACACCTGTGGCTAGCGCTTATCACAGAACTGGATAACTCACTTTAAATGGCAGTCAGTTTAAAGCCCCTAAAACATATGCTACTGTAGAGGGGAATTAGGTGAGAAATTATCAGAAGCCTTTTCAGTAGCGTTATAAGACTAAGTGGCGAGTTAGGAATCATTAGATAAATGTGCTCTCAGCCTGGTCTAAAGATCATAATTTAAAATGAAATATGGCTACATACATCAAGATCAGAGCCGTAATACCTACCACTAAGTATCAAACTAACCAAATTACAAGAATCATTCCGGTGTCACTTCAATGAATACGTCACAAAATGCTTGATTGGGTGAATGCACAAGCCCAGCACAGATACTTGCAACCAGAAAGGTGATTTGGCACATATGGTATTACGTGTACCACGCTTAAAGTTCGAACCGATACTGCTAGTCGGTAAAAACAAAAATCCATCTCTTAATCTCAGCAAGCAGGAGACAAGGCCTGAAATGTCGTTCACAAGCAAATTCTTACAGCCTTCACATGTTCTGGACTTGTTTAGCATGTTGAACAAGCAAACATATTATTGATGAGGATGGCCATGTTCAAATAACTGTAAAAAATAAAAGCTCACGAACTCAGACTCACTCATGGACTGTTATCTCTCGTTTTAAATATCTGTGTCATCACCTAAACATTTGAAATTTTTCCTTATGCTCGACACTGCGTCCAACCACCATTCTCCCTGGTAAGTTACTACCTGCTTGCATCATTAACGCATGCTCTCGAATCACATTATATATAAACCCACAAAAATACCAGAAAACTGACTAGAAGATCTGGAGGCCCGTTAGAAGCGAAGAGGATTCGACTGGGCTTCAAAATGACCTTACATCTATTGAGAAATGGGCAGTGAAAAACGGTTTAAAACCCAACCAACCGAAGTGTCACGTCATGCATATTCTGCCTCACACGAAGCCCACACCTGGAGGTTCACAATGTCGTAGCACCCCCTCTGCTTAAAAGAGACATTAATCTCTAGGATCGAGTGCAGAGACGAGCAACGAAATGGGTGATAGGGTTGAAAAATAAACCGTACGACGATAGACTCCAGCTCTTGGGATTATTTTCACGGAGTTACAGGAGAATCAGAGGTGATCTGATTATGGCTTACACCATATTAACCACACCAAAGCATCCCAACGTGAGCTTCTTACCGATGCATTACCACCACTCACCTCGAGGGAATCCTCGAAAGATTACACATCAAAGAGCGAATACTCAGATTCATGCACACTTTTTCTCATTGCGAGTCGTCGCAACTTGGAATGCTCTCCCAGCCGAAGTTACCACAGCCCCCTTGGCAGACAGCTTTAAGAAGAGACTTGGTAATCACGCACTTACATACGGACTATCTCCCTCTTGGACAACCTGTTCATGATGCACATCTTGAGACTTGCTAGTTGTTATCATTGCCATCTCCTCAGATCACTTACTTAATCTATCTCGTCTCTCTGTTCCCTCCCCCTTGCTTACACTAAGGTCCTCTCTTACAATCTTCACTACCAATTAACAAACTAAATTCATCTATATATTACTCAGTTCCGAAATTTTATTCATAATAGCATTAGAATCTTATCCTTTAAATACTTATTACTCTCCACGTTGCAACTAACTGATCTCCGGTCTGGTAATGTGACGGCTGCTGGTATCCAGAAACCCTAATGCCCTGAAACAAACGTTTTCATTCAAATCCTGAGACATGCAAACTCACAAACAACTGCCAACTGACTAGATTTAGACAGTTGAGTACTGGACCTCCATCCATTGGACATTACCGAACACCTGAAACGGTACCGAAAGATCAAGAATCGAGCGCAAATAAATCAATAGGTTTACACTAGCTTGTGAAAAAGATACTTGATACTGGATATATATTGAAAATAATGAAATCAAGCAGTTATCCTAGTACTGACTAAACATATACAAATAATTGAGTCTTGAGATTGAAGCAAGTTTAAAATAATCGGTTGGTTTATGCAAACTTACCATAATTATATTGGATACTGAATATACTGGTAAGCAAATAATCACAATCTAAAATCATATCAACGTGTGTTTATATGCTTCACAATGTCAATCGCTCGTAACATACCGACTTTTCAAAAAAATTATGGTTAGTGATGGAGGTCTTACGAAAGCGACTAAATGAATTTAGAGAGGAGGAAGACGATTTAAGAGGTCAAGTTTCAGATATTGAAAGTCAAATTAAATGTGTGATCGATGAAACTCACAAAGTAGTTTATTCGTTCAATTCAGAACTTGTTTTTTAGGTCAATTCAGAACAGTATGAACTTGCTTCTAAAGAAATGTTACTTAAACAGAAGTGTCAGGTTCAGAACGACAGACTAAAAGACGCACTTAATAAACTTTCCAACCATCAAGATAATCACGATCTACATTCCAGGTAAACTCAGTACTGCGTTTCTGAAGGTCTTAGGAAATTAGAAAATTTGAATCACAAGAATTATAGTCAAGACTCAAAAATGGATGAATTGGAGGCAGAGCTAGCGCATTTGCGAAACGAGTGCCTAGAAGTTCAGTCTCGTGTTGATGAGGTCGGTCCACTTTCTCTCCTGTTATATCTGTAGACTGTCATCCATCTGAAACATGTAGAATCTGCTAAGGAAAATGCTGAAAAACGAGCCAATGCAGCAGAGTTGTATGATGATATATTTGGTTACATTGTATTCTTAAAGGAAAGTTCAAGATCTTGAATCGCAACATATATCCACATTAGAGGCTTTGAGACGTGCTGAGCTGAATGATATACAAGTAAGTAACACTCCATGTGCTCGATAGTTTGATTAAATCTTAATTTTGGCACCATCAGTTACTGATATTTTGTTATCAGCTGTTTGGTTTTTTCGAATTTTACGTGGTTTTTCCGTTCAATTTTTATTGATGGTCTAATTCGCTAATGTAGGAACTAACAATGACTGTCATGTGATTCTCTAATTGAACATCTAGAAAAGTGTAAAAACATATAATAGGTCCCAGTTAGTTGGGGAAATATTTGCAGTATCAGTATGTTTTTTATGTTTTTTATCAAATGATTTGACAAGAAATGCTTAACAAACAGATCTTCGAAAGATTTGAAGGATTTGTCGGTTTTTTTAATATTCCAAGGGGTTCGCTACCACAATTTTGATGGATACCAACTGATGTATTTACAATAAAAATATTAAGTATTTAGGCCCCGGTTTTTGAGTGACTAGTTTGCAGACTAGTTTTTACTGGTTGAATAATCAAATCGCAAGTTTCGGTTTTTTTTAATAGCCATAATTTACAAGATCATACCAAACTCGCTTATATCTGAAAATATGGTCTAGTAATAGTACTATTATGGAGTAATAATTTGGTGTCTAGGGCTGAGAACTGTGAATTATATGAGAGCTTTTTACTGTTGTCAAGGGCTTATCATTCTATAATTTACTGTCTTTTGCTCAAACAACTGTTGAAACGGTAAATAAGATAATTTCTTGACATTGTCGTTATCGGCTTTATTTTTCGCATGTACTTTTAAATGTAATATTGATTTGGTCACTTTATGAATCTAGTTACTCTCATCTTAGCATTTGAAGCTCGGCTTTCTTCAGAAATTTAAACTGTCGGTGAATGGTGTCCATTTTCAAAAATTTTCATTCTTAGTAATAATCTTAAATACACTTCCATACCACTAAAAACATTGATATATGTGTTTTGTCGTGCGTCACATTCAGTGATTCCAATCATAGTAGTTGTCTGCTCTGATGTTTAGTTCCTGATGTTAGGATGTAGTACAACCATGTAAATGCTTCAGACAGACAGACAGATACAACGCAGAACTTCGTACATAAGTACATCAGTTCAGGTTGCCATTACACGACAACACAGAGACGCAACTGTCAGTTCAAATCCAAGAGTGGTAGCAATAGTAGAAGTATTAGCAGTAATGGAGAAGATTAGGGAGCGAAAATATTATTCAAGAGGTATAATTCAGTGAGATAAATTTAGAGGGAGAAAGATGGAGAGGATGAGGAATTCAGAAGGTTAAAATTAGAGAGAACACAAATGCTTCAGATCGATTTGACTGTTAAAATTTTTTCTGCTCATATACGTATAACTCATCATGCTGGTGGTCCATTCGTCTAAGTGTGTAATCACTTAGAATTTTCTGTATCATCGAGCAGCAATTTAATTTTCTTTTGGAATAAATCAGCTTTAGTAGTTTGGTGATTGATTAGCTGCAAAATTCAAATCTGTCTTATCTTTTCTCTTGTCTATTTTTCCATAGTATCTATCCACGGATGATTTAGAAATGAAGGAAAAAAATTTACGGGAACAGTTACAAACGGTAAGATATTTGATATTTCTTATTAATGTTAATTGTGTTACTTCTATGTTTATCGTTTTTAATTCATCAAATGATTGGTAGAGAGTGAAGTAGTCGAACGTGTAGTCCGCCTCACTTATCTCGGGAGTTTTATCAGTGCTGATGGCCTGGTTACTGACAAAATCTCAGCTTGGATGCAGAAGGCTCGACTGGCTTTCGCCAACCTGCGTCAGCTATGGCGTAGGCGAGAAATCCGCTTGCTAACCAAAGGACGAGTGTACGGTGCAGTAGTTCGCTCTGTCCTACTATACGGATGCGAAACATGGCTTTTAAGAGTAGAGGACTTTCGTAGGTTACTAGGCTTCGATCATCGGTGTCTCCGAAGCATTGCTCGTGTATCATGGGACAACCGTATAAGCAATGCTATCGTTAGGAAACGAGTTCTACGTAGGGATGGCAAATCAATAGATGAAGTAGTGAAGCTTCATCAGTTGAGGTGGTTGAGACATGTGTTACGTATGGCTAACCACCGACTGCCTCGACGAGCTATGTTTTGTGGTGTAGGAGTAGGTTGGAAGAAAGCTAGGGGCAGCCAAACCAAAACATGGTAGAAATCCATTAGGTCACTGACAAGTGGACTGAGCCATGTTGGTAGATGTAAGCTACCTGTTTGGGGTCCGCGAGACGATAGTCACCAATGGTTAGAGACCTTGAGTGACATGGCTCAGAATCGTTTTCAATGGCGCAAGTGCATCCATTCTTTGTGTTCTCTCAAATTCTAACCTTCTGAATTCCTCATAATCTCTTCCTTTCTCCTTCTAAATCTATCGTACTGAATTATACCTCTTGAATAACATCTTCGCTCCTTAATCTTCTCCATTACTGCTAATACTTCTACTATCACTCTTAGATTTGAACTGACAGTTGCGTCTCTGTGCTTATGTGGTGGTATGGCAACCTGAACTAATGTACTTACGTACGAAGTTTTGCGTTGTATCTGTCTGTCTGTCATCAAATGATAAAGTGGCTACAAAATTCTCTTATAATATTAATGTAACCATATTTCGTGTGGAGGCTGTTAACACTACTCATGTGATCAAGTTGAGCTAGGCGAAAAGGGTTTTAACCATGATTTACAATAGCTTTCTAACAATTAATCTATCCGATTTGGGATCGTTAGGACAAGATAAATCGTCTACAATATCTGAGTTACTGAGTTAGTGTAATAGTGGGAGTATGTACAAATTATGAAGAATGAGAAGTAGATAGATAGTGTAGCCCAAAATAAATGTAAATATATATCACTAAATACTGTTTGAATGAATACGAAACAAGGGGAGAATATTTTCTTTATTGGTAATTGTTATATTTGTGTCTTCTAACAGTTTTTGGGCTCTTCAACCAGAAAATCAGTTAGTTACAACGTAGAACTTCGTACGTACGTACGTACGTACACCAGTTAATGCTACCATACCACATTAGCACAGTGATGCAATTGTCAGATCAAACCCTAAAGTAGTAGAGGTATTAAAAGTATTAACTGTAATGGAGAAGATTGCAGTTCCAAGATATTATTCAGGAAGCATAATTTAGAAACAGTAAGATAGAGGTGATAAAGAAGTCAGGAGACTAGAATTTGAGAGAAAACTAAGAATGTATGCACCTGCAGCATTGAAAACAATTTTAAGTCATGCTGTTCAAGGTCTCTAACTATCGGTTAGTATCATCTCGTGGACCTCAACCAGGTAGCCTATATCTGCTAACATAACTCAATTCACTTGTCAGTGACTTCATCATGCATTTATGCCATGTTTTGTTTTGGCCACCCTTAGCTTTTTTAAAACAAACAACCTCCTCCTTCATCGCTAAACATACATAGCTTGACGATGCAATTGGTGGTTGGACATACGTTTTTCTATTTGGATATAGTTATGTGTCCTAAGCAGTTTTTTATTATAACTCATGTTTATACTGTTTTTTTTCGCCGATTAAGCTCATTAAACAGATTACATGCTTTTAAAACTTACAATCTGTATCGATTTTTATTATTTTTTATATTAGAACCATTAATAAGTATTTGTACTATTTTTAGTATAAAAAAAAGAAAATTTCACGTTTTCACAACTGGTATTTAAAACGGTAGAGCGTACTTTTAAAAAACAAACTGTTGTAACGGTTGCGCTTATATATTTTCTAGCTAAATCCTATTACTTAGTATTCTCTGACCACAAACAATACACTGGACAAGTTCCAAAGAATCAAAAACACGGTTGAACAGGAAAGATTTATATTCCAAATAGCAAGGTTAAATGGAATGAGAAGCCAAAGGTGATGGCGAAGGCGAAGGCAAAAATAGATACAACGTTAGTCTATTTATAGCATTTACATGAGAAGATTTCTGGATAGAAGTTCACGTGATCGACTGGATTAGATTTAACCAATCAGCATGCAGCTAACAGTACGAGAATCTTCTACCCTGTTCTCCAAGATTCGATCAGGCACTGATTGGATAGGAAATTAGCCAATCAGCGCGCAGCAACGTAGTCATGCTTTAATTCAATCTATGTCCCACTAACACAAACAAACAGATTATTGATTTTATTCGTTAATAACTTGAATTTTCAGCTTATCCGCAAACATGATATCATTCATCATCATCATGTTGATTGCTAGCTACTCAAAGACATGTTAGTGTAGACATTTCAATATTAAAAGAGTTAAGTTGCATATATTAGTGTTGAATGTGTATCTCACTACTTTGCTAGTCGTTTTGTTGAAGATTGCAATTATACCTTTCGAGCATGAAACGTATTGACTTTCTTCATATAGGTTGCAGGTTCATACCCCCCAAAACACTCATTTCCGTTCCGAAAGTTCAGTACTATCACTGTTCCGCTGGATAATTCATGAATACTGTTTACCTTGAAACAGAACAAATCGCTACACATTAACACTCATCCCTTGATACGCAAACATAGTATCGACCAGTCTATTATAAATCACTTATTCTAATGAGGAACATAGATTTATCCAGTGCAAAAATAGCAGTCATTCTTATATCATAGTACAATTACATTTTTTTCTCGACTCTAACGTTTATCTACAGATGTTATCTATGGTTTGTTTTATTTAAACACGAAAACATTGGTACAAAGATAGATGCACCATACAAATCATTTAATTTATAAGAAGTGGCTTGAGATACTGTGCAGGTTCTCAAACGGAAATACGTGATCTTCTTAGCAGGTCACACTCTGAGCCTTTCATCCACTAGCCTAATACACAAAGCAGTTGAACACCGTCAGAAGATGCAGTCTCACAGTAGCTGGTGACCAACAACAAGTTCATACATTATTCGTTTCATCAGCATCCTGGCGACCATGTGTACCATTAGTTTGGAATGAAGGTTTTCCAACTTCTTCCCTAGGTTTGCTCTACATAACCAATAACTTGGTTAAAGTCCTCCTGTTCAGACACTAGCTTTTCGTCCTCTCCATTCGGTGAACAACGCGTCTGCTGCGTGGCTAAATACGCATGTCCATAGGAGAGCATTCCTCTCTCTCTCTCTCTCTCTAGCAATAGGGAGATCGGACTCTACCTACTCTTAGTCGTATCACAATGCATTCGCGGGTAACAAGTTGAAATTCCACAATACCTAATTCATTTTTGTTATCTATTCAATAAATATTAAATTTTATTATTATTATTATTATTATTATTATTATTAGTTGAAAAGATAAAACATTTCTAATTGAATTATAAAACAATTAAAAGTACACTAAATACGTTTTATTGAACATATATGCAGAATATTACTAGTTGATCTATTCTGAAGTTTTTAAAACATATTATCTAGATTTAAATTTTAAATGAAATAGTACATAAGACAATTTGAACTTAAAAAAAAGAAAATTTGATAATAACTGACCAACAAAATAATTTGAATAAATTGTATATTAAAAGCTTTTGAGAAGAAAAAAAATGCTAACATGAGCAACCAAACGTGAAATCAATACAAATTTACGTATCAGTAATACTATTATTATTATTATTATTATTATTATTATCTCAAATTGTATCTAACAAACAAGGTCAATTTACTTTCTATCAGAATAAATGTTGATAAAAACATTAACGCATAGATATATTGATATTGATGAGTTGTTTTAATGTGATCAGAACATTAGCTATTAAGTGGCTTGATTTTGAAATTTGTAAGTGTAGATCGCTTCACTTATCTGGGGCGTCTTATCAGTGCTGATGGCTTGGTAACAGATGAAATCTGAGCACGGATACAGAAGACTCGATTGGCTTTTACCAAGTGGCGTCATTTATGGGGTAGGCGAGATTTCCGTTTGCTGACTAAGGGACGAGTGTACGGTGCAGTATTTCGCTCCGTCTTAATATATGGCTGTTAAACATGGCCAGTCAGAGTAGGAGATATTGGTAGGTTGCTGGTTTTCGATCATATGTGTCGCCGAAGCATCGATTGTGTATCATGGGACAATTGAGTAGGCAATGTTGTTGTTAGGAAGCGGGTCATAGGTAAGGATGGCAGATCAATAGATGAAGTATTGAAACTTCATCAGTTGAAGTGGTTGGGACATGTGTTACGAATGCTTAACCACCGACTGCCTCGTCGAGCTTTGTTTTGTGGTGTAGGAATAGGTTGGAAGAAAGATAGGGGCGGCCAGACCAAAACATGGCAGAAATCCATAAAGTCACTGACAAGTGGACTGAGTCATGTCAGTAGATGTAGATTACCTGGTTGGGGTCCGCGAGAGGATAGTAACCGATGGTTAGAGACATTGAATGACGTGGCTCAAAACCGTTTGCAATGGCGCAGATGCATTCATTCTTCGTGTTATCTCAAATCCTGACCTTAATTCCCCATCACTTTCTTTTTCTTAAGTTTATTTCACTAGATTATACTTCTACCCTAATCTCTCCGATTACTGCTAATAGTTTTACTACCTCTACTACTATTGGATTTGAATTAACAATTACATTTCTGTGCTAAT